AATATAGGGCTAAGACAGCCAAATAACTGAGAGTAGTTCAGATGATGAGGTTGGTCTATCACTTTAGCTGCTAATGTTGAACAGTAGATAGACAATGTTATGATAAAAGTCTTCATGGTTGTGGGATGTGTTTCTAAAGGAGACACATCTTTGTTCTGATACTTCAGTTGGAGAAGGCCAATCAGTGATGTGATGAAGAAGGCATACACAGCATGTTCTGAGACTTCTGTACTAAACCTTCTGATACCACGGCTATCATCAACGATCTCTAAGGCTGCCCTCATTTTCTCCTATTTGATGGTTTTTTTTTTTATTTGAAACTAATTTATAGCCTAGGTTTGATACCATCAATTGATATCAATCTGTAATGTTCAGGAGTCACGATAATTAGGTACGCATCAACACCTCTCTCCCTCTCTTGTTTTTCGATCTTGAATATGACAAAAAATGATGGAGTTGTCTACGGTAGGAAAAAAAAAATCGGTATCATACCTTTATTTATCACATTTGTGAATAGTTTTATTATCACTGTTGTAGATGTTTTGTGTAATAATCAACCACAAAAGTAGTAATTCTTTTTTATACTGAAAAAAAGTGATAAAAAAACTATCACGGTAGTGATAAAAATACACATAATAGAGGGAAAAACATTTGCAAAAATGATAAATCATCCATAAATGTGATAAATTTTTTGGTTGCAAAATGACTTGTAGAAGTTATAAAAATACTTATTAAAGTAGTACATTTTAGAGGTATGATACTGAATTTTTTTTTTATTGATACTGTAGTCTAATGCTTCGTTTGGTAGAAAGGATGGAAAGAAAGAGGGATACACTTTTTATCCTTCAAGAAAAAAAGTAAGAATGAATGATACACTTTCTTTCCTTTGTGTTTGTGTTTGGTAGGATGAATGAAAAATAAAAAATAATTAAATTTTTTTCTTTTTTGCTTGTTAAGATGGAAAATATATTTTTTNTGTGTTTGGTAGGATGAATGAAAAATAAAAAATAATTAAATTTTTTTCTTTTTTGCTTGTTAAGATGGAAAATATATTTTTTTATCTTTAATTTTAAAAAAAATTTCATCCATTTTTTTTTTCTAATTTTGAAGGAATTAATTTTAGTGAGTTAGAAGAAAAACTCATACATCAATTTTTTTATTATTTTTATTTTCATTTTTTATTAAATATAATATTTTATCTATTCTTTTAATTTTTCATCTTTTAATTTTTTTATCGTATTAAACGGAACATAAGTCCAAAAAAGATAGGACCATGTTAAATAGAGTCGCGAAATTGTGCGTCATTGTCTGTCTCATCAATAAGAGAAGAATGGATCAAGAAATTTCTCCCTCGGACAGATAGAGAAAAAGAACGACAGTACCTAGGAGACAACTTTTAAATTTTTTATAAAAAAGTACATGTGAACGAAAGTATCTGGGCCTCATATTTATTTATTAATCATAACTTGTGTTTGAAGACACGATAAAATATAAAATTTGAGCGCCTAAAAAATTGATCTTATTATATTAAATTTTTTTAACATATGTATATTATTGTATATGAATAATGTTTAAAATAAAAATTATATTAACTACAAATTAATTAAATATTAACTGATTAAACATATGATAGAAAGAGTGATTTGATATTTTTAGAAAAAAATATATAAATGATTAAACATATAATAAAAATTAGTGATGTGATATTTTTAAGGAAAAAAATATGTAGAAAATAAAANATGATTAAACATATAATAAAAATTAGTGATGTGATATTTTTAAGGGAAAAAATATGTAGAAAATAAAATTTTAAATTACTATGTATTTTATTTTATAGATCGAAACCTACAATTCACGATGCATAGTTTCTAACTAGAAAAGAAAGGCAAGAAGGCACTGCACCTAACAAGCCATCACCAAAAAAGGAGGACTACGACTTTGCGCACAGGCGCACCTATACGCANAAAAGAAAGGCAAGAAGGCACTGCACCTAACAAGCCATCACCAAAAAAGGAGGACTACGACTTTGCGCACAGGCGCACCTATACGCACTGAAGGCTGACCCTCAGATATTCACCTTATTTTAACTTAGGCCCAATACAAGTCTGATCCTAGGAAAGCTGTCCTAGAAGCGTCAAGAAGGCCCTTTCTTTTGGACCATGAATTCGGGATGAAGATAGTCAATTTGACAATCTCATCTAAGACTTCAAGCCTTCGTCCCGAAAGAGAGAGATTGACCATCTGTCTTTTGAGTCTTCCGTAGGGGATTAATGCTAGGGTTAATTCTACTTTGCACCCTACAAGATACTAAAATTTTCAATTTACACCTTGAAAGTAAAACTTTTTCACCTTACACCCTCAATCGTGTGAAATTGTTTCAATGTAGTTCACCAGATGTTCGTTGATATCTCCATCTATTTTAAATTCACGTGACAAGAACATGCAATCTTGAGGGGTTAATATGTAAAATGCTAAACAAGTTTTGGCGGGCAAATGGTATACCTGAAAGAGACGACTGTTGGGAGAGGTATTTGTTTGAGGAGATCTTCGACCTCAGAANGGGTTAATATGTAAAATGCTAAACAAGTTTTGGCGGGCAAATGGTATACCTGAAAGAGACGACTGTTGGGAGAGGTATTTGTTTGAGGAGATCTTCGACCTCAGAAATTTGGGAAAAGGACATGGAGTCTATGCACTGTTTGCTTTCTCCATGGAAAACACCATTTCTTCCATGGCTTCAGTTTTTAATATGGAAAACACTATGAGGAGGGTGTGTGTGTAAGAGAGAGATAGAGTTATAAACTTAGAATGCTTAAAAGCATACACTATAATAAAGTAATCTTACCACTCAAACCGAGTTCAGAAACGTCCAAGACTTGGCAGCTCTTCTTTTCTCTCTCCTCGCTGTAGGTTTGAGGTTCTGAGTCTGAGAAATANTATATGGAAAACACTATGAGGAGGGTGTGTGTGTAAGAGAGAGATAGAGTTATAAACTTAGAATGCTTAAAAGCATACACTATAATAAAGTAATCTTACCACTCAAACCGAGTTCAGAAACGTCCAAGACTTGGCAGCTCTTCTCTTCTCTCTCCTCGCTGTAGGTTTGAGGTTCTGAGTCTGAGAAATAATGAAATTTTCCCCAATCAGAAATCTTAAAGGCACAGGAGAGGATCAAAATGACACGCATGACCTCACTCTAGCAAAACTCTAAAAAGATCTTGCCAAAGAAATATAAAATGAAATTAATGGGGATCATATTAGAGTTGGATAAATATTATAGATTTATCTTCATCGGCATATAAACGCCATGCCATCTCACCCTTCGGCCCATAAAAAATAGAGAGAGAAAAAAAAAACAGTTTCATAATTTTTGAAACTGTCCCACCAGCTCCACAAGAAAAATTGCAGGATCTCCCACCAGCTTTTGAGACTAAAACTCTGCTCCACAAGTTTCTCAAAAAATTACAGATCTTCTCCCGAGTTCTAANGTTGGATAAATATTATAGATTTATCTTCATCGGCATATAAACGCCATGCCATCTCACCCTTCGGCCCATAAAAAATAGAGAGAGAAAAAAAAAACAGTTTCATAATTTTTGAAACTGTCCCACCAGCTCCACAAGAAAAATTGCAGGATCTCCCACCTGCTTTTGAGACTAAAACTCTGCTCCACAAGTTTCTCAAAAAATTACAGATCTTCTCCCAAGTTCTAGAAAATTGCAGAATCATCCCAGAAGTTGCAGAATTATACACCAGACGTTCACTTTAGATATAGAAGTTGCAGAATCTCTTTCTCATCTCCTTAATTCTTCCATTTCTCATCACCCTTCAACTTCTATTTCTCATCTCCTTCTTCTTCCCAATCTACATCAGAAATCTTCACATACTAACACACGCGCTTTGTGAAGAGAGTTTTTTTTTTTTGATCCAAACTTTGTGAAGAGAGTTTAAATAAGTAAAGACCAAACAGAAAACAGAAAATACTCTGAAAAACAATTATGCAAATCATGTAGCGGGTAAATAATTACAAACCTCGTCCATAGTCAAGCAATTAGTCCTCTATCCTTTGGATAATCAGATTAGCTGTTACATTTGCCAATAAGAATGCTCCATGAAAGTTTTCTTGGTAGCACATAGATTCCAGTTCTCTAGCCATTTCCAATAAAATTACATATCTGTAAAGTAAAAAAGGAGGAGATTTTTTTATGGTAAAAAATTCATTCATTTCTGTTACTTCACAAGAAGAAAAGAAAGAAAACAGGAGGTCTGTTGAATTTCACCAAAGATTTGTAGTACGAGTGGGCAGCAACCTTGCTGATTTCTAAATTGGTTGCCTCAGGATAGTACTCATCATCCAACCATTTGTGCAGAGTAACTCTGATTCCTGCAGCAATGCTGGAAAAAATTGAGCTTCTGCATATATTAATTATTGGGGAATTTAGCACAATTTTATAAATTCAAATTACCAAACCAAATTCAAAAAACACTAAACAGAAAGGATACAAACACACACGTATGGTAAAATAGCATGCAATTAGACCAAAATTAAAATAGAAAAATATCAAATTAGAAAGAGCTTCGAGAGATGTGTGATCACTATCCTGAGCCTTCCCAAATGAGGGTATTGACAGATATCAGCAATTCCAAGATCCAACCAGACTTTCGCAGCAATACCTCTTCAATAGTCACGCCCCCCTGGAAGAAAAAGGTGAACCTGACTTAATTCGTATGTTGCCCAAACCACAAAATACTTGAAAAAATATAATTGTACACGCGCAAAAACAAGTGGCAGAAGGTTTTGGTGGCCAGAAAATATAATAGCAAAAGGTTTAACAAATAGAATTTTTTTAAACCCTGCAAAATCCAGCCCCAGCCTGAAGATCAAAACCTTCTCCAGTCTCTTCCCACTTGTGGAACCAAGAAGAAGAGCAGACATAAGGTGCCACAAAGACACTCTCCATGGCTATTCTTGCTTCTGCAAGATAATCTGGGAAATTCCACTCCATTGATTCACATAAAGCTTGGTAGTGCCTCAGATGTCCGACAAAGATCACGAGCCATATCCAGAGAAAAAAACCATTTTCTTCGATTTCATCCCTTGACTCACTAGACAGCAAGGCTGGACCTCCCTAGTCACCGGCTTGACTGCATTGACTTAATGGACTGCCCCTTTTTGGTTGCAGAAATTTAGGCAAAGAACTTTTCTGACATCAAACAAAAGCAAAAGTGTATTTTAAAAGGCAGAAAATCGAATATTACAAGCTTCCGCCTCTTTTCATTCTACTCATATTTTCTGTTTCTCTGTCTTTCCTCAGCTTCTCCATCACCAAAAGTTGCAACTCCTTTACTGGTTGCAGAATAGGCTAAGAGTTCCTTGGATGTCTTCAGAAACTCCATGACATGACTCATACTACTCCTCCCCATGTGTGGAAGCCCAACCATGCAATTGAAGGCCAACCATTCTCTCTGTCCACTGTTCTTCTTCGATCCCTTTATCTCACTCACCAAGTCCTTTATACTCATCTCTTCCACTTAAAATTTCAGACCAAAAGGTCTCGCATGATCAAAGAGTCGCTGCTTTGTATCCTCAAACTTCCATCTCACAAAATTGGAATCGTTTTCTGATTTTATTGATGTTAATCTTAATATCTTTTGCTTCTGCACTATGGCCTCAATCATGGGAGACCATTGAACCCCCTCTCGCATGTCAAAGTCTACTATGTTTATCACCTCTGCGTCTTGTGGAATAGCTTCAAGGATAGCAGAGTTGGCTGCAAAGTGAGCAAACCTCCCATATGGGAAGATCTGGTAGATAGGCCTTGAAAGCTGCTTCAAAATTCTTAATTGACTCCTGTTTCAGGTAGTCAACTTGATTTTCTGTGGATTGGAAGAAGTTGTATGTGACACGTTCAAGCGCTTCCCCAATCGGATTAGCTTTCTTCTTTATGCTTCTCACGAGCACCTCAGTTGAGCTTCCCATGCCCCATCTCCAATACTTGAAGAGTCTGGTAGCAGTTTTTTCTGTGGATAGCAGAGAATTAAGTCTGGTGGACAAAAATAGTTATACAGAATATAGCTCCACTTACACCTTGGTCGAACACAAATTCAAGGCTGATGTTAGCTATATATTTAGAGACATCACTGAATGATTAATTAAGAAGTAGCAGTTAAGATGAAATAAACCTAGAATTTGGTTGATAAAGAATCCATNTTAGAGACATCACTGAATGATTAATTAAGAAGTAGCAGTTAAGATGAAATAAACCTAGAATTTGGTTGATAAAGAATCCATCACATCGTCAGTCACCTCAGTACGATGCCGACGAACGGCTACTCCGATGCTTATGGCCACCGGATCAGCGAAGTTATATACATTGTGAGGCCATATGGCGCCTCAGCAGACAGTTTACGATCCCTCTCACACTTCACGCACAGAAATTCATCAAATCTCAAGTCTCAACAACAAAATCTATGAAATTGAGGCAATAAAGCCGGAAGAGAGGTGATCGGCCGGAGAGAACCGAGTACGGCACAGAGTCTTGTTCTGGGGAGAGGAGAGGGGATGGAGACGAGACTGATTTGGGGAAAAATGAACTGAAACTTGGGCTTTTATTCAGGTAAACTATCACTTCTCCGTAGGTGCAGAGGTGTATCGAACACGTCTCGATAATTCTCGAATCGAATAAAAGAGATCATAAAATAATATTTGAAGGTATCTCAAATAAATATAGATAATCAATTCACGGATAGGGTAATAAGATGGGTCTGTCAAAGAGGAAAAATCTGTACTTGATCTCTCTCGAATTTTCTTCAGCAAATTCTGGGCGTCTTGAACAACCCCACTGGACAATGCATAGAAGCACTAAATAGTACTGAAAAGTTGCAATGGGCTAGACTTGAAGAGTTACCATGAAACACACTGATTGAGTTCAACAGAAAACTTGCAATGGTTTGCATCCAAGAGTTGGTGACACTTGAGCTTTTTGAAAAGCCATTTTATCCAAACCATTACCATTTAAGCATACATCATTAGAAATAATAAATAATAACACATAAGCACGGGCGAATCTAGGATTTATGTGCAGCGGGGGGAAATTATAACTAATTTTTAAAATTAAAATTATAACATTAAAGATATATAATTTATCAAAAATATGGTGATACTGAAAAACTAATCTATATAATAAAATACAATATAATTCAAATCTAAAAAAATAAACAAAATGACTTTTACTATTCGTGGTTGAAATCGTTTTAAATTTTATTTTAAAATTAATCAAACGGCTAATATTAACACTTTAAATTTAATAAAAAAAAAATAAGTCTCTAAATGTGTGTTTGAAATGACTTTTAAAAATACTTGTAAAAATTATTTCTCATAAATTTTTAAAAAATAAATAATATTTCAAACTACCTCACCACTACCTCTAATACTACAACTCCCACCGCCACAATCACTATTGCCACCTTACCATATCCACCACCGCTAACACCACATTTTAAAAATAATTTTAAAAATTATTCTTTATAAGTACTTTAAAAAAAAATAGTATTTCAAACTATCCCACCACTATCTCTAATATCACAACCCCCACTGCTCCACCACCACCGCCACAATCACTATTGCCACCTTACCATATCCACCACCACCAATGCCACATTTTAAAAATACTTCTAGAAATTATTCTTCATAAGTATTTTGAAAAAAAATAGTTTTTCAAACCACCCCACCACTATCTCTAATACCAAAACCCCCACCGCTCCACCATCGCCACCATAATCACTATTGCCACCTTACCATATCCACCACTACCAACGCTAGAATCACTATTGCCACCCTACCATATCCACCACCACCAAGCCATCACTCTTGGGTCTCTATTCCTCTCTGTCCGTGGGTCTCTTTGTGTGGCTTTCTTGTTTTCCTACAGTCGGCGCCATGTCCGAACCACCAGGTTCGTAGAAGCCGAGTTTACTAGGTGAGGAATGGGTTATGGGTCTGACAGAATTGCAGTGTTGCAACTGAATAAGCCTTTGAACGACGTATGGGTCTGGCAGAATTGCAATGTTGCAAGCCAAACAATGGATTAGACTGAATCTAAACACTCCCATTTTGAATCCTACCACTCCCACCTATGACTGGATAATAGCCAAATAAAGGAAACTCTTTCTTTCATCCTCATTTTCTATTTATCCCATTTTCAATCATACCAAACAAGCGGTGAGAGTACTAAAACGAACCTTTCTGAGTTGGAAGCATGACGAAGATGACAATCGCCAACAATTCTTCTCTGTTTCCTTCTTCTGAATCATCCAGCTTTGTCCTGAGACTTCTTTATTAAACCTTTGGGCTATCATCAACAATCTCTTAGGCCGGCCCTCATTTTCTCCAATTTGCAATAACAATGTTCACATGTGCATAACTTCTTTTTTTTCGTCAATATATGTAAAAGCTTTGATAATACCAAAGTATCAATTAGGTCTCAATTGATCGTGCCGCCGTCTCGGAGGGATTTCAACAAACAAGAAATTTTCTAGCAATTGAAAATGGAACAAGTCACGACACGAAGGGTGTTTAACGTACACGCCGCGCAGGCTATTAAATAAATGTCACGTAATCTAAATAAATTCAAAAATTATAATTTAAATATTTATTATCTTTTAGATGAATGGATCTCATTGAAAAAGTTAATGAGACATACTCATCTAAGGGATGCTATACATTTGAATTGTAGACACCAAAAAATTATTTGGGTGTGTTAGAATTTGACCCAAATTCTTTAATTGTCATAAAGGAGAAATTTGTTAGGTAATCAATGTGGGAATCTTCAATGAAATAAGAAACATATTTGAAGAGTTTTAATATACCATAAATATGTATATTAGACATGTGATTAGAAATATAAAGATCATAAGTTTCGGTTATAATATTTTTTTTCTTATAAATAAGGTTAAGTATTATATAATAAGTTATGAAATGACCAATTTTTCAATAAATAATACATCGTTTTTTATTCACGGATGTGGGTACGGTGTACCAAAATGGATACGCTATATCGAACCACTAGCGATATTCCGTGACTAAAGTTACTGTACACTGAATTATTACACTGTGATACATTGGAATGGGTGTTGGAGTGTGTATGTATGTGTAGTTGTGTGTTGTGAAGTGTGAAGTGTGTGTGTTGAGTTTTTGAAATTTGGAAGGGAAACTATGTGTTGGGTGTGTGAAATTTGGAAAAAAAAATATACCCCTTATAAGTTCAAACACTTATCTGATTTATTATATAGATGTTATATTTTTATCATGCTTTTATTATTTTTCCTATTTTTGAATTCTTCTAACAAGTGTTATTAATGTTAATTATCTGTTGTGCAAAATTAGCATTGTGTAGCATTAAAAAAATAAGAAAAAAAATTGAATAGGTCTCGANTGTTATTAATGTTAATTATCTGTTATGCAAAATTAGCATTGTGTAGCATTAAAAAAATAAGAAAAAAAATTGAATAGGTCTCGAGAGGAAGGGTGTTTAATGTACTCGTCAAGAAGGCAATTAAAAAAATAGAAAAAAAATTCTATAGCAATAAAAAAATATNTATTATTAATGTTAATTATCTGTTGTGCAAAATTAGCATTGTGTAGCATTAAAAAAATAAGAAAAAAAATTGAATAGGTCTCGAGAGGAAGGGTGTTTAATGTACGCGTCAAGAAGGCAATTAAAAAAATAGAAAAAAAATTCTATAGCAATAAAAAAATATCCAAGAATTATATTTTGGTTAGTCTAATAACCAAGACAACAATCCAAACTTTATTTATTGGACTGAAAAATCAAGAACAAGTGAACATTTGGAGGCAAGCAAGTCACGATAGGGTATATTCGAAAATATAATTAAAAATAGATTCTTGAGAGGTGTGAACATCTAGGGTTTGAGGTCTACAAAATTTGTTAGATCTGTAAAGAGAAACTGATTATTTTTCGATTAATNGCGAACATTTGGAGGCAAGCAATTCACGACAGGGTATATTCGAAAATATAATTAAAAATAGATTCTTGAGAGGTGTGAACATCTAGNGTGAACATTTGGAGGCAAGCAAGTCACGATAGGGTATATTCGAAAATATAATTAAAAATAGATTCTTGAGAGGTGTGAACATCTAGGGTTTGAGGTCTACAAAATTTGTTAGATCTGTAAAGAGAAACTGATTATTTTTCGATTAATTAGATTACTATACACAGGGGTTTTGGAAAAACTAAGGAGGCCATGGCCCCCCTTGCCCTCAACGTGGTTCCGCCGCTGCGAAGCGTGGGAGGCTTGCGCAGAGAGCATAGCATAGGGAGCAAAAGGGCATAGAAACTTNAAGAGAAACTGATTATTTTTCGATTAATTAGATTACTATACACGGGAGTTTTGGAAAAACTAAGGAGGCCATGGCCCCCCTTGCCCTCAACGTGGTTCCGCCGCTGCGAAGCGTGGGAGGCTTGCGCAGAGAGCATAGCATAGGGAGCAAAAGGGCATAGAAACTTGATATGCTCGATTGGATTCGTCCTCCTAAACCTATAAGTAGTTCATATGGAGTTTACATAGAATTATGAGATA